GGTCTCCTCTTTTGATTGTTGTTTGCCCATTTTTCCGAGATTGCAAGACGTATACGAGTAGTTGCTGGCGCGAATAACAATAATTTAAGTCCATTATTATTTAGGTACAAGAAATAGCCACACAAAAGTTCACTATATACTGAATAATATGCGTCGTACCTTAATACTTACACTATTACAACTATATCTGGTATAATTCGTCAAGTATGTAAAGTTATCTGGACGAAATTGAAAGACACAGTTATGCCAATCCCAGAGAAAAAAAATGGATTGAAATATCCCAAGGATTTGCGCAGACAATCAAATTTCCTCAGTGCATTGGCGCACTCGATGGTAAACACATCAGAATGCTGAAACCAGAACACTCAGGTTCTTTGTACTTTAATTATAAACATTTTTTTTCTCTGGTGCTACTAGCGTTGTGTGACTCTGACTATAGCTTCATCTGGGTAGACATTGGTGCCTACGGAAAGGATAGTGATTCAAGAATTTTTAGAGATTTATGGCACTCATTACCTTACGTAATTGTAGGTAATGAAGCACTTGGCCTGATGGAAAATTTTATGAGGCCCTATGGTTGAAAGCTATCGTATGAAATAAAATATTTAACTACCGGCTGACTTTAGCTCGTCGATATGTTGAGTACTTTTGAAATAGCCAGTAATAAATGGAGAATACTACATCGCCCTATAGATGTCAATGTGAATTGTGTCGAACAGATTGTGAAGGCAATTACAGTACTTCACAATTATTTTCGAATCAGAGATGGATTTAGACCCGCAGGCTGATTACGTATCTAGCAAACCACTCGCGATAGCGAAAATCGTACAATAATTGCTGTCCAATCGCAAAATCGTATTATGTATCGGCAATAGCGAAACAATCGCAAACAAGTGACAGTGCTTCCTCTGTCGAGCAATCGGTGAACTATATGTGAATTTTAATCTATGAAATTACGATTTTTTCGTATTAGGTATGACTCTCGAGAGCAATGCGATAGCAATCAACAAGCAATATAATCTGTCAGTTTGCGATAGCCCTAGAAGTGATTTTTTGCCGATTGCTGATCTATTGTTTGTCGTTACTTTTAGGATTTTCTCTTATATTGTTATATATCGACGCTTAAGAACCAAGACCATCTATCTACAAAAAGTTGACTTTACAGGAGACGAAAAAAACGTTTGATTTTTTTTTTAAAAACAATTTCATTATTTTTAAGTTTGAACATTTACTAGACAGGCGTGGGAAATAAGATGTTTACATGTATTTCAAGAAAGCTTTATTAGTTTCGAAATTACTGTAGATAGCTGGTATTAGTTAAAATATTTGCAAATGTTTGTGAATTTCACTGTAAGATAGGTGGTATTGGCAAGTGAAACAAATTTAAACATTAAGTATTAAACACTTTAATTGAAACGACAACCTTTTATATTTATCATATTCTACACAGAAAAACAGTTTTATTATGAAACGGATGACTATGTACTCGTAGAACATCTTTTAATGCTTAAGATAGTTGTTTAGACAACAAACTTATAATTATACAATTTTAGTCATGAAACATTTTTATTTATTAAAAATTTAAACATGCGGCAACGCATCATAAAACGGATGACAATCTTTTGGTAGAACATCTTTTAATTGCTGAAGATGGTTATATTTGGTTGACGAAATTGGTAGGGGACTTTCATGTAATTGCGAGTAAACCACAGGAGTGTTAATGTTGCACTTTCTTTGAGGCAAAGCCCTCCAATCTTCATCAAAATCAAGTTTTATCAGGATGTCACCATTTGGTGTGTATTTCATTGCACGCAGGTCTGTGACAACAGAATCGCCAGCTTTACGTCCTGGTCGAATACTTTTATATTGAAAAGTAGAAGACTCAGCATAATTTTTAAAGAAGTTGTAGTCAACTTCAACTACCTCATAGGGCTCTTTAGTGCGAGCTTCTTTGGTAACAGACACATAATCACTCGGAAGATGAATCTCCCTGTTTTTGAGCTTTCGCTCGATGGCACTGTGAACCGAGTCACACTCCATTTGTGTGTGACCCGGTTCTAAGTACTTATGGGTTATGGTGACATTGTGCTTGATGCAAAAATTTAGAAGACCATTGGAAAGCACAGTGTTCCGATTCTGGTATGTGCAACCATCTGAATATATCACAATGGGTAAGTGTTTGGGCAGACAATGAACTTCCAAATAATCGATTACAAATGAAACAAATGTGCTAGCCGTTAAATCGCCTGCTGTTTCGGTGAACCAGTAACATTTGCAGTGCCTTGTAGCTAGGTTGAAGATGGTAAAGTTATGGCAGGTCAATTTCGTTTTAAAATAAAGAGCACTTGCCGTTAAATATGGACAAACTTTAACTGCTTCCAAGTCCATGGTGAGCAGTATGAATTTTCCAGAAATAGCAAGTTTTTTGTCCGCCTCCTTTTCCTGTCGTGCTCGATTTTTTCTCAGTATGTGCATTTGGAAATCATGTTCATCATAATTTCCAGTTTTATGACTTGCGCATGTGTCACACATGTCTTTTTTTAATACGTAAAACGCTAAGTTTTTTTTATTGTATTCCTTGTCAAATGTAAATCTGCTGGCTGAAGGCTCTTCGTTTTCTGTACAAAATTTATTGTACGTTCTGTATAATTGAGAAATTGAATGGTAAACGGGTTCCAGATATAATTTTGTCGTTACTTTTCTTGCATAATGAGATGGTAATTTAGGAAGATTGTCAAAAAAATTACGCAACGTTATGGTTTTCCTGTCAACATTGCTGCTTGCTCTAGAATTACGAAAATTTTGATTGGGCACCATTGCAAATTCTGCTTGTTTTACCCAAGACTGCACGGCAGTAGAACAAAGCGATAACGTACTTAAAAACATTCTTTTGCAAACCTGGACTTTCACGTCCGATTCTATCGGCAAATAATAGCTAAATGTGCCTTCTCGTCGTGAAGTTTCCAAAGCAGATTTTGTATGGCGGGATCGAGCAGAGCGCGTGACAAGACCAGCTACATAAACTCTACGTTGATCCCAGTTCATCGTTTTCCAGAATTTATCGTGTATGGATTTCCTAGTCTCCTCTTCAAACCTTTGGCAACCTCTCAACTTACTCTTTTGACAAAAACTGGACGTACATGGTGGTCCTAAAATTTTTGCTAAACGAACTTGATCTTGTGTCGCTTTGCATCCTTTAGGTTTCCTGTATCCAACATATTCTTCACCAAGCATGCGAAGTTTCTTGGCTTTGTTTTTCTTCCAAGAATTTTCGTCTCGGATATGACGCCGCTTTCGTCCTTCATTCATATCTCCAAAATCGTCTGAAGAGTCTTTTTCAGACTCACTTTCACAATAAGTCGCATCGCTGTCTTCATTAGTAAAGTGGACAGCTGAATGAACAGAAAGACTTTTAGAAACAGGAGCAAAATGAAAATGAAGAGAAGGCGGAGCTGATAGACTTCTTGTTCTGTTAAAAGCTTTTTGTTCTTGAGTGTCAGAAGTTAAATCGGATAAAGAAACGTGTTTCTTCAAGAAACAATTCGAGATCATACAGTTCTTAGAGTTATTTCCAATTAGTTCCAGCAGGTGAGTATGCATGCTACTTGAGATAGTTCCATTAACAGATTTGGAATTCTCATCACTTTCAGACTTCTGGATACTGCCATACGGTTTCTGTGTTGAACTTTGTTGAGGAACTTCTTCTGAAAAACAAAATTTCTATCACAATCTACCCACACAGCACTACGAAAGTCGTCATCTGAAATTACTAGGTAGGCTCTTAAGGTAAGAATTATCTAATAAAAATCGAGTGAATAAAATAGGACTAAAGTAAATAAATATATTTTTAACTTACTAGCGCTATTATCTTTATCTTTTATTTCTGCTAAAATTCGACGAGCTCTCCATCCTTGGTACCTTTTCGACATTTTAACTGTAGACAAAATTATATTGCTTACTACTTGAACAGATTAATAACTAGATTTGTTATATACAATATTTAGTAGACAGTGTGCCAGCAACGAGGCACACAGTCCACTAAATAATGTATTTATAGCAAAAAGACTAAGAATTTTGACTATCTAACAGGTTTAGACCTGTTAGACTATGTTGACACGAACAAATTTTTCTTTCAATATCGCCTATCTACATCAACAAGATTCGATTTTGATTTCAATAACGCCTATCTTACATTTATTATATTTCAATGAGTAGGTAGGTTAGTTAAAATACTTAACTCGTTAAAAATTAATACAATTAGAATAAAGTAGTAAGAATAATGTAAAAATTAAGACATGCCGCCACAAAATGTATAATATTTCTCACTTAAAACGGATACAAATGATGTCGAAACTTTTTTATTGCATCATTCTTGGTAAATACTAATAAAATTAAAATAAACAATGTTGTTACTTACTTTTCACGTAAATTTTCCTTTGAATTTCACCAAATTAGCCACTAATTACAACGTCACACAATAAAAAACACCACATTTAACGCATGTCACAACCTGCTTTGAGCTAACTATTAGAAGTGTCAACAAACCGCCCCGCAACATCACCCCCGCCCGCCAAGATTCGCAACCCCTCTCTTTCTAAAAGCGTTACCACGCATTCGAACACATAACGGTTCTTTGCAACTCGCAACGGGCGAGTAAGCACGCGTACTGTGTAGATAGGTGATATTTCCATAATTTTTTTTCGTAACGTAATTTAGGTGGTATTGGTATTTTCTCATAACTCCTTATTGATTGCGAATTTGAGGTAGCTGATTAAAGAAAACGAAGCGTAAATTTATTGTAAAAAGAACTGCATTAAAAAGTATAAATCGCCAAAAGTGTAGATAGATGGTCTTGGTTCTTAAGCGTCGATATGCTGCGTTTTTGTGTATAAAAAGTGATAATCATATTTTTAACTATTTTGGTGTTGATAAATTGTAGTAAGTGTAAAGCGTAGTTTCTGTTTACGTTACTTGTTGGTCTTTGATCATTTGCATTCGACATGGCTCGTGCTTTTCTTTTATTTGAGGCACTAGAGATTGAGAACCGTGAAAACCAACGGCGTCACAGCCGCGTTACAGCACGACTGAGACGTAGACTTCGAAATCAAGCCGAAGCTTTGGCGCTTTCTGATACTGACTTCAAAGCCAACTACAGACTTACTAAGAAGCTGTTTAAACATTTATGCTCAGAGTTAAAACCATTCATGGTTCGGTTGAAAAGGAGAACAAAAATCTCTGTAGAATGCAAAGTAAATAATAATATCGTAATGTATGCAATATTGTCCTTTATTGACTTAACAGTAGGCTTAATGTTAATATAATATGGTGATATTACAGGTGCTTACAGCTCTCTCATTCTATGCCACAGGCTCTTATCAGAAGCCTGTTGGCATGAGCTACTTGCATGGGCTCAGTCAAGCTAGTGTATCTAATGCTGTGAAAGAAGTGACTAGGGCATTAAATACACAGTATACTGACCAAGTACATACATTTCCCTCATTCTCGACAAGAAAGACAGGCAATAATAAATGGGTAAGGACTAGAAGATTTGTAAAAATTGTAGTTTCACAACTGTTTTTACTGTATGATTCACTAATTCACTTTATTTTAGCTTTCAAATGTTCAAATGGTAAGTAATTCATGCATATTTTTTTGTACTTATGACAACTAGTGTTGACCCCACAGTTTCACTTAAATTAAGTTCTATTTCATCCTCCAGGGATTAAATTTTAAAATATTGGTTAAGGGATGCCTACATCATAATAATCATCTATATGAAAAATTTCAATCAGTCCTGTAGTTATATCTGTGCATTGATATAAATCAGTCAGTCAGTTACCTTTTCTTTATATATTTTTAGAAAATTTTAGTCCATTATTGTATATTATAATTCATGTACACAAATCTACATACATGTATTTTTTCTAGATATGTGATAGTGATTTAAATATTTTAAATATTGATGCATCATTTGGTGGTGCTTCACATGATGCATACATGTGGAAAAATGGTGAAATTCAGAGCCATCTCCAAGAGCTTCACAGTAGAGGTGAAAATGTCTGGTTTCTAGGTGCGTAGAATAACTAATAATATTACATAGCAATATGAATATTTTTAATAAACATCAGTAATTTACAGGTGATTCTGGATACCCACTGAGGCCATGGCTTTTAACTCCAATTGTAAATGCAGAACCTGGAAGTGCAGAAGAGCACTACACAAATGTTCACTGTCGTACCAGAAATACAGTGGAGCGCTGCATTGGAGTTCTAAAAGCGCGTTGGAGATGTCTATTGGCACACAGAGTACCACATTATGACCACCACATGGTGGCTATGATTATTAATGCCTGTTCTGTATTACATAATATTTGCAATAGACATCGCTTGCCAGTACCACAATTGCCCCATGATGATGTTGAAAATGATTTGAATCATCGAGTTCCACGAACACCTCTAGCTGTGGGTGCTGATGCAGAACAACAGCTCTTGGCCAGTGGGAGACTACAAAGAGACAGAATAGTGCAACGATTGTGGTTAGCCCCCAGACAATAAATAATACAATTATTTTAATTATATAAAAAAATTTATTAAATATATATATATATATATATATATATATATATATATATATATATATATATATATAAATCTTAGAACATATTAAAAGTATTTTTATATTATTATTATTTCCTAATTAAAAAAAAATATATAAAAAATTTAATGTTCAACAGTATCATTTTTATTTTTTTCCTGCTTCTCTCTGATCAGCTCTATCAGAGCATGGATATTTTCTTGTTGCACACGTATTAGTTCAACAAGAGATCGCATCGTATCTGCTTGCACCTTAGCTGCTTCGGCTTGTGTTCGTGTAGACTCTGCCATAATAAGAGCAGCCTCTGCAAGCTTGGTCTCTGCATCAACTCTGCGATTCTCTAGTCCCTTTACCCATTCTGGGTCAATTTTAGATTGAACTGAAATAAAATAATATTTTAATTTTATTCAAAACAATACAGTAAAGCATTAATTAATTATTGTTAACAAAATTTTCTAAAGTGATCTTACCTGTAGTTTTAGATTTATAAGGGCTATTAAGTCTTCGTGGGCGATAGATACGTGGTCGCGCCACTGGACTATCTAATCCTGTAAAATAATATGATTATAGCTTTATGTATTTTAATAAGGAAATTAATTATTTTTTTATTATAAATAAGTATAAGCACCAGTCAGTGGTGGTTCTGTGTTTATGTCCATTTTTACTGATACAGAACCAGTTTCTGGAATTTGGGAAGTGCCTGTGAATAAACAAATAAAAATGGTTGAAAATAAACAAATTAAAATTGTTAAAAATAAACAAATTAAAATACATTTTTTTTCGTAACTTACATATAAGCCTTAGCAGATGTATATATGTATGTCATAATAGCTATCCATATGCCTATCAGCTCAATCCGTCCAGTGGTTTGAGCTGAGTATTGATAGATCAGACAGACAATCATCTTTTTGTTATATATTAAGTTCGAGATATGATATATTATTATAACAGTACTTTGTAGTTTTATAAAAATCATAACACTTACATAGGTTGGATGTTTGACCTCTTGTGGAAGGTGAGGCCACAGTAACGGGCTCTGTTAACACCATAATATGCACATCATCTGCTTTATTATCTAAAATTTATTTATAAGATAATTGAAATAAAAAAAGAATAATATTAAAACTAATACAGCAATATTACAAAAAATATTTAATTGGTACAATTCTGTGACATGCAGTACCACCATTTTAAATGACATTCAAACCAAACCATTACTTAAAGCCTTGAAATATTTTAAGTAAATAAATAATTTATATGAATCAGTCATAGATAAAGTTATTATAAAACAAAATATATTTTCCCAACATCCTATAATATCCCATTGCCTAACCCTCACATCACATCACAGATCCTCTTCTAAATAACTTACTTGGTAATTCATATGATGTTGATGGTTCTGGTGTTAACTGTTCACTGATCTAAAAAAGAATAAGTATTTAGTTTTCATAAATAATAATCATAATAAAAAAGCTATTAAAGAAACTTACAAATGGAATTCGGTGCTCAGTATCACCAAACACAGCTTGCTCCCCGATGATAGACAAGATTTTCTTGTCTACCTCGGAGAGGTCATCTTGGCTACAAGGACCACCACCAGTACCCAAAGCATCCCTTCTCCATTTAGCTAGCCTAGCCTTGCTCTTATGCTTAATATCAGCCCAGTACTATAACAACAAAAGTATTTATCACAACATATAAAGAGCAGTACAGCTCTTTCTCATAAATAAAATGTTATTTTCAAGCAGTTTTTCAATTAATTGGCTAAAAATGGATCTCTTTTCTATAATATTATGAGAACTTACCTTTTTCCATCGTTGTCCAGATTTCGACGACCCAGAACCATGGGAATTGAGCTTTGTAGCAAGACTGTCCCATTGCTTGTCGACAGCTTCCTTGGATCTTGCTCCAAGCCCAACTCCCTTGGCCAAGGTAGGATGCTCGCTAAGGAACTCTAAGAGTTCTTCGAGCTGGTCGTTCGATACTCTATTATAGTAGGGGAGCCCAAGAGGGGATTTTGTGTAGTTACTCGAGCGCGGCAGATTAACATAAAAGAGGTTACCTTGCACTCTATTGAGTACTTTCACCATAATATAAGTCTTCTATATAAAGGAGCGCGTCTAGGGAAGCCGATTAAAATATTTAAAAAATGTTTTGATAAGGTAGAAATACTTGAAACCGTCAGATTAAGGTGTGGTAGGCTAGTCACATCCTGAAAAGTGTCCAATTCAATAATCTGCCGATTTGCACAAGCCGAAGAGGCAAAAATCGACTATAAAGTTTATGATGATATATATAATAGAGTGCAAGGTAACCTCTTTTATGTTAATCTGCCGCGCTCGAGTAACTACAGAAAATCCCCTCTTGGGCTCCCCTACTATTAGTATTTGCCATATTTTATAAAAAGTATAAACAAAACAAATTACTACTTAGAATCCAATTTCCAAATGTCAATTAGCATTTTTTCACAGATTATATATTAGTTGCTACGTTTTTAGTTTTAATTATAGCTACCAAATTGTTAGTGGCGCTAGTTACATCGCGAAAACTGCATTTGGCGATCAGCGAACGATTAGCGAGCGATCGCTTAGGTAATACTATTATTTTTCACCTAGAGCGATCAATCGCGCGTCTTCTGCGCAATGACTGCACAATTATCGCTGATCGCTTAATTTTAGATAATAAGCCCGCCGAAGAGATAATAGAAGGAAATTTGTCAAGCATAAATACGAGTATTACTCACAATGGACGTGCTACTTTATCAGCGGATAACATCCGAACTAAATTCACGAATTATTTTATTAATGAAGAAAAAATTGAATATCAGGATCGAATGATATAAATACGTTTTCCTACACGCAATCACTAATTTATTAATAAAGTCATTTATCCACATTCTTTTTTTTTTCTTGAGAGTCGGTGTCTAGAGACTTTCTCTGAGCGCCGCGTTAACGCTCACTGACACGCGTTAACGGGCGCTCATGTGATCGGTTTTATGTAAATACTAGGATGTCTAGTCGTGCGATTTGAAAACGCGCGTCAAAATTTTGTTATCTGAACATGGCCTTAACCATCAAGTGACATTAACAATTGGCAGGTGTCAAAATCTAGATAAGTTTTTCTAATGGTGCCAGTGCTATAGTGGCCTATCTCTCATAGGCCACTGTGGCACTTAGATTTTAGTTGATTTGAACATAACCCGAAATGAATTTGTACTGCTATCTATTGTCGAGATCATGTAAATAATTTTAGGCTGCTCTGGTTTTGTAGATGAACATTTTTAAATTGCGAAAATGCAAATAAGTTAAAAGTCGGTAAAATGCAGTTAGGCCACTCTGGTTCTAGCAGCCTCATATGTAAGTGGGTTTACGTCTATACAGGGTGTCCAGTTTTCAATGGATAACCTTGAAGTGGCTTGTAGCAGAACTCTTAGCCGTTCAGAAAAAAATACAAAACCAAATATATTGTAAGTAGTACCTAAGATATGAATTAAAAAAAAATGATTACACATTTTTATCTTATTTTAGATTATGGAACTCTACAACCACAAAATGAATGAATTCCACCGATTTTTGTTGTTATTTTAATGTACACTAATCATGCCAATAGGTAGTAAATAGTAAGACTGGCTATTGCACCTTTTATTTTTAAAACTACTTGAATTAACTTTTTCAGCGGAAAATTTGTAAAAATGTCATTTTCGACAAAGTTTAAGCACCTTGGGTGTAAAAAAAAATTTATGAAAACATGAGTGACCAATAATTAAAAAAAATGCGTGTTTACAGTAGATTTAAAAATAGTATAATTCATTATGATATCTGATGTAAATCGTGAATTATTGCAATTAATGTACAAAAGGAGTAAATTTGACTAAATATCGAAATAGGTATTATTGGAACATTTTTTACATTAAATTGTACCTGGTCATTTGGGGTTTAATAAAAAACAACATTCGACATTAATTCGACTTTATTTATATTAAGTGTTCAAATTGTTTTCCACCCACTAAGATACAGGCCCTACATCTTCGAACAAATGTTCTTCTGAGTAGTCTCGTGTACCGTCGCTCACTTATTTTTGATGCGGCTGCCCGGACAAAGTTACGTAATTCTTCTAAGGACCTAATCGGCTTGCGGTACACCTCTTCTTTAAAACAACCCCTATAAAAAAAACCAGCAAGTCAACAAGTCCGGTGAATGTGGAGGTCACAAAATCGGTCCCAGACGCCCGATCCATCTGCGAGGGTACATTCTATTTAGATACGTACGAACAGCAACAGCATAATGCGCAGGACATCCGTCATTTTGTAACCAATATGATTCCCTCAGCTCGTCGGGCACCTCTTCCAATAAATTTGGAAGATCATTTTGAAGAAACTCCAAATAACTTTGACCGGTTCGATTGCCCGTTAGTTCAAATGGGCCTATTATTTTTCCATTTAATATTCCAGTCCAATAATTTATTTTAAATTGCTTTGGTGACCTGTCTTCACGCACGAGATAGGGATTTGTTAGTTCCCAGCTATGTAGATTGTGCAGATTCAAATACCCATCTCTTTTGACTGTTGATTCATCGCTCCACAGAATTTTATTAAAAAACTGCGGGTCTTCTATCTTTGCCAGCATTTGTCGTCAAAAACGCAATCTTGAATGAAAGTCTCTTGTTTGGAGAGTTTGCACGCGTGTAACGTGGAATGGGTGCAATTTGTACCTTTTTAAAATATTGTGCACCGTAGATTTTGAAATGCCCGTGCGTCGAGATACTGCTCGTGTAGAAGTCGACGGATCTTGCTCGACTTCCTGAAGCACCATGTCTTCGAAATCAGGATTAGCTATTCTTCCAGCGCTAGACCCACCGACACTACTACCAGGTATTTTTCCTTCTGAATAACAACTATGGACTCTTATAAGTACGCGATAATCTGGGTGGCGCGCATTAGGGTATTTCTCCTTATAAAGAGCTGCGGCTGCGTTTGCATTGCCTCTGCATTCCCTATAAACAAAATGCATGTTTGCATATTCTTGTGGTTCATACTGAATTCGTGGCATTTTGATCCACAAACTGAATAGTTCAGTTCATTCAGTAACAAGCCAAATCGTCGTAAATATCACTAAAAAAAACAAGTTCAAATTAGTAAAAAAAACGAATAGTCCAGTAAAATAGCCAGGTCGTCGTTTTAAAACTGGTACAAAGTAAATCACAAAAATTGCAAACCGAAACGAGAGAAATACATGCGAAATCAAGCAAGTCGAGTGACGCACTGAGCCCTTACCTGTTTTTTTTACGTTTACTTCCTCTCGCTCAGCCAACTTAGACCCTTTTTGTCTAACATGAACAAAAGATAAGGGTGCAAAGGGTGCGCGCAGGTAGTAAATATCACATCACATGATCCATTTCAAAATCATAACGAACCATTTAAAACATTGTGTATTAACTATTTTTTAAATTTCTGTTTGAACATTATTTGGTTTTAATTTATTTAAATAAGCTATTTTTTTCATTATTATAATGCCTGATGATATTTTTCAATAAACACCAATAGTCAGGTACAATTTAATGTAAAAAATGTTCCAATAATACATATTTCGATATTTAGTCAAATTTACTCCTTTTGTACATTAATTGCAATAATTCACGATTTACATTAGATATCATAATGAATTATACTATTTTGAAATCTACTGTAAACACGCATTTTTTTAATTATTGGTCACTCATGTTTTCATACATTTTTTTACACCCAAGGTGCTTAAACTTTGTCGAAAATGACATTTTTACGAATTTTTCGCTGAAAAAGTTAATTCAAGTCCTTTTAAAAAAAAGAGCAATAGCCAGTCTTACTATTTACTACCTATCTATTGGCATGGTTAGTGTACATTAAAATAACAACAAAAATCGGTGGAATTCATTCATTTTGTGGTTGTAGAGTTCCATAATCTAAAATAAGATAAAAATGTGTAGTCTTTTTTTTTTTTTAAATCATATCTTAGGTACTACTTACAATATACTTGGTTTTGTATTTTTTTCTGAACGCCTAAGAGTTCTGCTACAAGCCACTTCAAGGTTATCCATTGAAAACAGGACACACTGTATAGTGTGTTGACTACTATATATTGCTTTAGTTTGCCTAAAATAAAAGTTTAAATGTGTACTACGAAAAATAAAGCTTTATTGTTACTAAATTTAATTTAATTAAAAAAAATACATTTAAATCATCACAGTTCTGGGTTTTGACTGTTGACCACAGAACACTATTACTCCTACTGGAGAAGAATAGTAACTACATACAAATTTTAAGGCGACAAAAATGCTTGCCAGCACCATCTCTGGTAGACTCCAGAAAACTATTATGGCGCGTGAATTAAAAAACTGTATATTACTGGAATATTAGGTTTTTTCTATGTACCAAGACATTTCCCCAGGTATCCACTATTCTTTCAAATAGTACCCATCTGGAGAAGTAGTTTGGCACAAAATAAAAAATTAACCTATTACGAAATGTAAGGGTTTTGAAAGAAAACCATGGTAGACAAGAATATGAATAATTTATTTAGCTCGAATCACAGTACGCGGTGTCAGTTGGAAAATAAATTAAAACTATCAATATGTTTCGCTCAATGATTAACATGCGAAAAAGTAAGAAATATCAATAAAAGGTACAATATCAATGTAAAGAATTCGAATGTCAATTAAATTACTCGTCAATTCAGTGCAGCACAATTTAACTTAATTGACAGGGCTAAATTAAATTTTAGCATTTTGTTCTTGGCTTTTCGATACAGAAAGAAATAAAATTTAGTTTAGTTTTGTCAATTTAATTAAGGGCTGATTTTTCAATCCTCAGATAAACAGTTAGATAGGACTTATTAGACAGATATTAAAATATTGCATTTGTCAATCGTCAGATAGGCTCTATCTGGTGATTAACAACCCCAACTGAAGAAAAAATGTATCTGCCTCTTTGACGGCCAGATAAACGTCTATTCCATAGATGCAACTAGATCCATTGACGTTTAGTTTGAGGTTATTTCTTCTTTTTCCTAAGTAAAATCAAAATTATGGAAATTTTCGATACTGTTGGTGATCTAGCAATCGGAGAAGAGTCTATAATGTATGAATATTTAAATACTGAAAGGAAACAAAGAGTAATCAGACCAAGTCCCGACCAGTTTGCTATGTGGGATTCAAAAGAATTTCAACACCGCTTCAGACTTTTAAAAGAATCTGTACTATATTTGCTTCCCCTAACAAGTGATCAAATTAAGTACAAAACACAAAGGTAAGTTCCAGTTAGTTTATACAATAAATAATAGTGATCTAAGTAGGTACGTATCTATACCTTCCTTCAAAATACAGTTGTAAGTTGTAATGTCTCTAACTATAAAACACTTACCAACACTTTATTATTGTTTCAGGAACCAATGTATTTCACCCATCTTTGAGGCGAGCATTCATTCAGTTGCCAAGAGGTAGTGAAGAAATAAGAAAAACTCAGGAAGAATTCTATAAAATAGCCAGATTTCCTAGAGTGATTTCAGCCATAGATTGCACCCACATTAAGATTCAGTCGCCCGGTGGAAACATAGCAGAGGAATTTTGAAACAGAAAAGGCTTTTTTCCTTAAATGTTCAAGCAATGTGTTCAGCAAATTTGCTATTTCAAGATATAGTAGCACGTTGGCACGGCTTCAGCCATGACATCGTGATATTTGCAAATTCATCGGCTAAATTTCATTTTGGAAATATTGAATTTGGCAATGAAATTGTTCTTGGTGATAGTGGCTATGAACAAAGCAGTTACCTATTGACTCCTTTTCAAGAACCAAATACACCAGCTCAGAGGTTGTATAATGAGTACGATACGAACACGAAATGTAATAGAGAGATGCTTTGGTGTGTGGAAACGACGCTTTCCAGTTTTAAGCATTCGTTTAAGATGTAAGCTACCACTAGCACAAGATATAATTGTAGCCTGTGCAGTTTTATATAACTTGGCAAGACTGAAAAATGAAGACGAACCGCCAGAGAATCCATAAGTAAATGGTCCACCACCACCAATGTTTGCCCCCACAATAGTCAATCCCACTGGTGAGTAAAGGCACATGACTAGAAATATTATGCTAGAATATTTTACTTCATTGAATATATAAATTACAGAATTAAGCTTATTATTTTAAAATTAAACAAATTTTTCTTTTAACAAGTCTTTATTTTGTTTTACACATACGTATTGCCATTGTAAGCACGTCGTGGGTTTCTTAATTTTTGTAAAATAAGTTCTTGAATTTCTTGCTTTCTTGCCTCATCATTAGCAAGATGTATCATTAAAGTTTGTGTTCATCTTCTAAGAACTGATGTTGCTTTAGGTTAGTCTCCATTTGCAACTGTACCAGTTCCAATCGGGTCGCACTTAATTTATCCAGTCTGCTAGTGACACTTGCTTTCGTAACTGTGTCTGGTTTTAATACAGTTGACACCCTTGTTTTCAGTGCCTTTGGATGCCATTTTACCCATTTATTTTCTGAAAACATAAGTTAAAATACCATCCAACAATATTGATATCACACCTATTATTTTATTTTTTAATATGTTTGGGAAACATACAGTGCAATACGAGTATCACTTAGAAATACTCTCGTGAGCAAAAAAATCGACTCAGACGACACATCTGTAGTCGCAAGTCACTGGAAAAAAAAACTGAAAGCAAATATATTTTTATCATAGTAAAATCTTAAAGCTGCTAGTATTAGCTTCAAAATGATATAAAATATTGTAAGGTTTATTGCTCACACAACCCAACAATATGTTGTGATCAGTAACCACCCTTTTTACGCTTGTTTACAATAGTGCTAATTAAGGGTTACTGACCCATATAAAAGGTTATCTACCTGACCCACCCTTATCAGTTAGCCGTCAAACGTCAACCGATACACATCTCCGTTATCAACAATCAAGAATTCTACCTGAAAATGGACACAACAAGCGATTTAGCAGCTCAAGCGATCACCCTATTGCGACAAGGCCAGAGTCAGCGTGAAGTGGCACGTGCACTGAACATGAGCCAGTCTGCTGTTTCTAGAGTTTATCGTCGTTACCAGGAGACTGGTGGCTTTAATCGAAGACGCGGTTCCGGTAGAAAAAGGTGCACATCAGAGAGAGATGACCGATTTATTGTCAGCACATCGTTAAGAAATCGGGCCCTCACTGGCGTTCAAGTCCAACAAGAGCTCAGAGAAACGCGAGGAGTAGCTGTGAGTGGCTGGACAGTCAGAAGACGACTTAAGGCAGCTAGGCTTGAGCCAAAAAGGCCAGCTACTGGCCCCAAATTAACCCCAGACCACCGAGCAGCCCGCCTACGTTTTGCTAGAGAACATGTTGATTGGACTGACGAACAATGGAGCACCGTTCTCTTCTCAGACGAAAGTAGAGTGTGCTTGCATGGTAGTGATAAAAGAGGACGAGTCTACAGAAGACCTGGGGAAAGATTCGCGCAGTGCTGTATCAAAGAAAAGGTTGCTTTTGGAGGAGGTTCCTGGATGGTGTGGGCCGGCATTTCAAGCGAGGCAAAAACCGAGTTGGTTTTTATTGAAACTGGCGGTCGAATGGGAGGATTGACGGCGATCCGATACATCGAAGAGATTTTAGAGGATCTCGTCGTTCACTACGCCGGTTTCATTGGCGAAAACTTCGTCCTAATGCAGTTCTGTCCGGCAGTATTTACAGGAGGTCGCAATTGCCGCTATGGACTGGCCAGCGCGTAGCCCGGACTTAAATCCTATCGAGCATTTGTGGGATGATCATAAAAGAAAAATTCGGGCTAGAAATCCTGCACCAGACACGATGGCGGACCTCAAAGCAGCTAATCGACGAATGGAATAGCATCGAACAAGATCGAGTAAGGAAACTTATTCGATCCATGAAAAAGCGATTGGAAGCTGTTATTAGGGCCGGGGGGGGGGGGGGCAACACTAAATATTAAAAAAATAATTTTAATTAAATTATTGTTTTGACGAATTTCACGTGGTATTTTCTTTACCGTCAACCATCACTTTTTTTATTGCTTAAGACTCCATCTCATTCAATATTTTTTCTTTACCAGAAAACATTTTTTAATAACAACATAGACCACTCATTTTAAAGTTAAAACAAAAAACTTTGAGATGTTAAAATCAGAAATATAATAAAAGCTTCCGATTTTTTGCTAGTGCTTTTTAACCGCAAGCGTGCGTCCTGAGTCGATTTTTTTGCTCACGAGTGTAAATTATAATAATATATAAAACACAAATCAGTAAAGTTTCCACTTGAAAATATTTCATAAACTAAGGCAGTGGTAATGAAAAAAAAAGCAAAACAGTATATTGGAAAATTAAATAAAGCTATTAATTCAATTAAAACTAATAATAATAATAGTCAGACTACAATAATGAAAATATTTATAAATATTATTATAATATCAATTCTAATAATAAGTTATAATGTTAATTATATAATAACGAATAACTTAAGTGTATATTATTCATTATTATTCAAATATTCTACTAACAAATTGTTAATACTTGTTCATAATTTTGCAAACTCACTATTTTTTCCAATATTAATATTGCAAAAGTAGAATAATAAGTACCTTTTTGAGATTCATTATCCTCTTCCTTTATTTTCAGGATTAGTTATTCGTTCATGTCTAAAAATAATAAAATTCATTAAATATCAACATTGAAAGTAAAATGTTACATTTATAAGTTTGCTGTTTGCACCTGCTACAAATTGGCTGACGTTGAATGACAGCTGTTTTGAGGTGTGTCACATACAATGTGAATAGGATGAACTTCTGTTTGCGAGTAGTATAAGAAAAAAAACATGATACAGACCTGGTATTTTAATATCAACACGGGTATTGCTCTGTATTTCATTTTGTTCAGCAGAATTTACCTCTTATTCAACAGAGTTTAAGTCAATATATACATAATATTAATAGTCTAAAATAAGTGAATGATTGTAAGTTTGTTAGTTAATCACGCGTAAAATAAACGGCTAAACCGATTTTCATGAAATTTGGCAAATATAATAATAAATATCATTGTAGGTAGTTTCTCTGTATGCGGTAACAGACAGACTGTCCAGACAGACAGACACAAAGGTTCTAAAAACTATGGATTTGGCTTCATTTTGCAAAAAATATTTAATGTACAGATTCGGCTTAGTTACAATTTTATTATATGTATATGTCGGAGACGAGTCATAATCACAACTAATCGGAACGCGAGCGCCACATTTTGGGCTCGACAGAGTCTACGTCGTGACACTCGACCGGGCTCGGCGGAGTTACGCTTGGTCCGTCGCACAGTGAACACTAGTAGAAACTGTCTTGCGTTCTGTATTGTCTATACGTGGTAATAGTTAAGTGATATATGGCTGTGTAGTGAAGTCACAGAGCACATTATATATATAGGAATAGAGTTGTCAGTGGCTACCCTATTAACAGCGACATCTCGTGGGGAGTTGAGCAAACTTTAATACAAATTGTATACGTACTATAGCTATTATACATATACATAATACTGGATTAATATAGGTATTGGTGTTCTCACTCAATGCATGATTTGTTTTGTATAATTCTGACATAAGTTACTTTTGTTTTTCACAAATGGTAACCTATGACAGAATTAACAATACATGTAATTAGGGGGATAACACAATAAAACTACGTATTTATTTTCTTCTTTTATTATAATATTGAGTAGCTAACACATGCAATTTATCATTTTCATCGTACTGTCTGATTGAGCCTGCAAGAATTTTATTCAAATCTCGACACCAATTATACAGAAATATCATACAAGCCGTATGATATATTTGCTCAACCAAATCCGAAGAGTGCTCCTCACATTTTAAATAATGAGTTTCGACTCTGGCGTACAATATAGTCTTTATATAATTAGATATGTTTTTCATTGGGCCTTTTTTTTAATATTATGGACAATGTCCTGAATTAACGAAAATGTTTTTACGAGTTCCTCAGAAGGATATGTTAGGTAGGCCTTGTTTTTATTAAATTCGCGAATTTTTATGTACTCGGTAGCCCTGTTTGCGTCATATAAATTATTTTTACAAGTCACCCAATTTTTAAATATTTTATTTTGGCACTCGCGTAAAATGTAACCTGTTACCTACTGTAATGTAGCAATTATTCTGGGATCCCTCATTTTTATTTCTAAACTCACAATGAAATCATTATCGTAAATGTGCCTAAAATTAACTTCAATGGGTTCATCACTTTTTGTGCTTTTGCTAAAAAATAATTTACTTATAGATTTAAATATGTGGCATGAATCTTCTTCACAATTGGATCCCGGTGAATAACTGGTGCTTAAATTATTTACGAGTAATGACGCAAACGCAGCTTCAAAGCCTGCACATGTGGGAGAATTATTTCTGTACCCATGACTCCGTCCGCTACCAAAAAAATTTTCTAATGGATCCTGATTAAAGTGTCTACACCATATAGATTTTAAATTATATTCGTAAAATAATTTATTCCGTAGGCACTCCATATTTTCTATGGTTAGCAACCAATTGCTAATAGATGCCACTACACAAACTTTTCCTTCTTTGGAAATAAATTTCATTGTTTTTAAAATCTGTTTAGCTTTTCTCCAGATTTGGTTGTGCAATGAAGATGGTGTTAAAGGTTGTAGTAGCTGTTTGCCACTTCTTTTAGAAGAATTTAGAAAACTTCCATTCATTGACTCAAACAGTTCGTCGAAAAAGATAATTATATCAGCTGTGTCCTGGCATTCTTTTGGTAACAGCCCCTTGTCTGAAACAAAAATAAATACCTAAGACCTTTTTTAATTGACATGCATCACAATTATATTACCAGATCAATAAGAAAATGTTTTTATTGTCTGTTTCATGAAGTAAAAGATTTTAACTTCATGGATTAAATTTTGGAAACTCACCTGCTAAGTAGCCCATATTTACTCCAACTGTTTGGCTAAAAATTTGTGATGCAAACTTCACATTTATTTTCGGAATTTTGTTAGGATTGCAATGGTATTCAGTTATTTTTTTACCAGTTTTATTCCTTTGTATGTAGGAACATTTTCGTAAAAATTGACAATGTGCTCCCATTTAGCTTTTTGTTCTCCCTCCATCCAAATCCAAATGTTCTGTATTTCATTTCTTTGCCATTTCTTAAATAAGCAACTCTTGTCTCTTCTATTAAATAATTTACCGCACTTACATTTCATGTCCCCTGATCACAGACTGTCACCATAAGTTTTTGGTGATTGATCTGAACATTTCTGAAATATTAATTTATAAAAATACCAATAACTATATCCACGTAGAACTTAATTTTTATTACATTAAACTAGTTAAAATATTCTACAGCGTCCAAGCGCGTACTTTACCACACATTTATTTGTCTGCAAGCGGTTATTCTGTGCACGCGCACAAACAATTCTCATCCAATTTAGGTAAAACGTGTTAGAACCAATTTTCAAACACTCTTTCAACTTTCATACGTCCATATCTTGGTGGTAGTCACCGGTTTCAAAGTATTTCAATCCTTCTACAAATACTGCCGATATGTACAATTATAATCCGCTTGCCTTTTCATGTAATAATAATAATAAAGCACCCGTCAATGAAATAACGTATATTATAACGTGTATGTAGCGTGTTTTTTATAGGATATGTGCAGATTTACTTATAAAAAATATATAAAAAAAGAAAATACAAAATTAAACACAAAAATATATTACCTGACGGATTTTTATATCCTGTTAATAGCCCATCTAAGAATGCAGAACTCGATGTAGTCACTATTGTCCGGCATTTATCCACGTCTCATCTATATAATATCACAAAACAATAAAACTCTAGGAGAAGAACGCTTTCTCTATACTGTGGAAATGCTTACATGCACACTAGCGCCAACAATAATTATCATGGAACTAATCAGTAAATGCGGGAGATTTAAAAACGGTAGCGAGAAATTTTAAAATATAGCGTGTATTACCGAATTTACATTACGAAATTAGTGGCATAAAAATAGTTTCAGGACAATAATTTCATCAACAATTTCACGTGTAAGCAACAAGTTCTACAATGCATGCATTATGAAATGTTTACATTATATTACATTAATTTCATAATGCATGCATTGTAAGACTTGATGGTTACACGTGAAATTGTTGATGAAACTAGTGTCCTGAAACTAAACTTTATGCCACTTATTTCGTAATGTAAATTCGGCTTATATATACGTATATATATCACGTGCTATACAACAGCTATAATACCAAATATATTAGCTTGACATGTATTAAGCAAAAGGTCATTGTACCTCAGTATATTACTATAAATAAAACAATGTTTTAAACATTTTTTAAGATCTTTATTTTTCTAATTAATGATTGTTTAGGGGCTTAATTAATAAACTCTCTATTTTTAATTGTGCAAAATCTTTTGACACATATGAACAATGTGGAGTGCACTATTTTATTTACATAAAATTCATCGCGTGCTTTGCACCCCTTCGGTTACTTGGAATTTATTTCGTTATATATTCTAGATAATATATTAAATTTAACTTTTTTTTATGTGCATTTTCTTTCAAATATTCATTTATAACTGTGGCAGCATTTTCAACAAAATTACCAAAAGCTGGTTGGATGTAATTTAACCTAGATTTTTGCTCATCATACTCCTTATAAGAAGTGAATATGTGACATATATCAGTGTTTGGGTCAGTAGAAATATTTTTTTGCATACTTCACAATTATTTAAATTCATTTTTTTTACAATAAACCCACATATATATGCGCACGCCTGCATTTCTCCCAAACACTGATCATCCTCTATATCATCTATTTCCTCTGCACCTTCAAAAAAAGAAGAGGTATTTTCTTCAACTTGCGTTGAAGAGCCCTCTTCTTGTTTTCGGGATTTGTTTCCTTTGCAGAGGAAAATTTTAAAATTATTTAATAAATCATTATCATCATCAACTCAGTTCCGGTTTTTGTTATTGTTTATTAAATTTGTTATCATGCTGGTTTTTAATGCTGCCACAAACTGCAATGAAGTGGGGTTTGGATTTGAACCACAATTGTTCCTTATGCACCCAAAGCAATTCTCTAGAGGGTCTTGGTTAAGCCTTCGCGGTGACAATGTTTTAATATTATATTTTTTTAAATTATTATATAATCTTTCAATTGCATTTAATGTCCTCAGCCAGCCTTCTTGTGATGGGGGTTTAGTTCTAGCCCCCAAAAATTTCATTTCTTTAAAAAAATTCTTCATTTTAGGAAATATTTCCAAATGAAGGCTGGTTGAGGACATATTTGTTAATAAAGGTTTTCCTCGTTTTCTGTCGGGTGTGTCCCCATTAACGGCGTCGAACAATTTATCCATATCGGCGACCACTGTGGCTGTTGCTAAAGCCTCGTTTGATAATTCATCTGAAAAGTTTAATTTTTAATGATGAAAAATAGAAATTATTAGATGAAGAACAGAATTTATTAGACCTTTGGTAAAGCTGCAGTTTTTACAAACTTATTGCAACATAACAAATATCATAAATATATAACATGTTTTTATTATATAAATAATGATATAAATGCAAAAGTTTGTATGGTTGGATTTGGATGAAATTTGGATTGGAGGTAGTTTATATTAACACATAGGCTACTTTAAAGGGCGGGTAATGCCACAGGGTGCTACTAGTTATATCATAAAACTTACTTTGGGCAACTTTGGCATATAGTCCTGCTGCAACCGAATGACTTAAGGGCTCTTTCAATTTATGCGTTTCCTATCGGACCGCTGCCGCACGTTTTCCGTGCTGCTAGTTATAACCCGCTGGCCGTGCCGTTGCAGTACGGTAGAAGTCCGTTACCAAACGCTTAAATTGAAAGCGTATCTGACTGCCGTGCGTTTGTATGCTAGTGCTGTTTTAAATTTATTTGATACCATGAAAATTATCAAACAAAAACCACGCCTCCGTAAAAGAGCATCACCGATGTTTTCGTTAACATGTGATTTTGGTGATTTCCATACTCTTTACCCTAGGTTAAAAGAAGACCCAAGCAGTTTTTTTAATTACTTAAGAATGCCTAGAGAATGTTTCTTCGAATTACTGGAATTAGTTAAAAGTAAAATTCAGCGACAAGAAACTATATTCAAACATACTATATCAGCTGAAGAACGACTACTGATAACATTGAGGTAAGTAAATTAAACAGCTTATCTTTTTATATTTATTTTTAATTTTTTTAGTTACAAAATAATATTGAGACGACTCTAATTACTAATCAGTTTAGTAAATCAACAATTAAATACGAAATAGGGTTTTTAAATAAGCTGACACACACCAGACGGTGCCGCTGATGTGCTACATTGCGTCACTGTCTGTAAATTCGCAAAAATTATGTGGGAATATCGTCTGTAAAAAGATCATTATATATGGAGCTTACCGAATCTTCACTCAAATTAGATACGGATGAGATTGCTGCAATTTCCTCTGCTGTAGACTGAAGCTGATTATTAGATGTTTGTGTTTGAGATCCTGGAGATGGATTCGTAAAGTAGTCGCGTTGTTGTTCATAAAATTCCGAATAATAATCACGAGTATACGGTTGTGGCGTCGCGTATTTTCGAATTATTCCTATTATGTCGTATTTGGCATCCATTTTACGACTTTCCGGGATCCTCTTAAAGTCGTTTAATAAAGACAATAAAAAATATCTATCCCCATCTTCGGAATCATCTTGTCTTGCATTTTTTTTATTCTGTATTCTTTCTGCAAGTATTTTTAAAAGCGCATTAGTTTCGTTGTTATCGTCGGCAGATGAACTCTTAGTTTTATTTTTCGATGTTGACGCAGTAGAATCGTTACAAATTTGTTTTTTTTTTCTTTTGAATCTGGTTTTATTTCATACAGTTCCGACAAAAATTGCAGTCGATCAAAATAAACATATTTTCGTTGTCTTTTTGCTTCGGATCCACTTTTTGATTCTCGCTGCTTTTTCAAGTCTCTTGTATATGCATCTCTTATATGTCTCCATTTCTTTTGAAGTACCATTGCTGAAATAAAAAGTAATATTAATATTATTGCAGGTATTTATCCGCTGGTTGCAGTATGACTGAATTGCATCATTCTTATCAACATGGAATATCAACTATTTCTGGAATTGTGAAAGATACGTGTCAACAGATTTACAAAACCCTACGAGAAATTTGTTTACCTGGACTGAAAAAAGAAGATTGGGTAAAAATCGCACAAGGTTTTGCAACTAATGCAAACTTCCCTAATTGTTTGGGCGCTATAGATGGGAAACATGTAAGAATAATTAAGCCACCTAAAAGCGGTTCGCTTTATTACAACTATAAAAAGTTTTTCTCTATTGTATTATTGGCCATTTGTGATTCAAATTACAAATTCATTTTCATCGATGTTGGTTCATATGGCAAAGCATCAGATTCACAAATATTTAAAGACAGTGACTTCTTCAAGAAACTTCAAGACAACAGTTTAAATATACCAAGTTCTACGCCAATAACAGAAAATGGTTTACCACTGCCGTTTGTTTTTGTCGGTGATGAAGCATTTGGCATCAGTCATTTCATACAACGTCCCTATAGTGGCAATTATTTGAATAAACAACAAAAAAATTTTAACTACCGCTTATCACGTGCTCGAAGATACATAGAGTGTACGTTCGGAATTATGACTAATAAATGGAGAATATTACATCGACCAATAAATGTAGATGTATCGTTCGCGACAGATATTGTTCAATCTATCTGTGTTTTACATAATTTCTTATCACGTGACTGTGGCGAAATGTCTAATAGTAATCTATTAATTCAAGACAGGCGGATAGCTCAGGTGGTTCAAAATGAACAAAATTTGACAGCAACATCAGTTCGTGATAAATTTGCAGAATACTTTGTTAACGAAGGACAATTATCATGGCAAAATAACAAAATATGATTTAAATAAAAAGTTACCTGCTGAGTTTTTTTCACCAGTAGTTTTAGTTTTGAAATCTTCTATAAATTTTTCACAAATACCTTCCCAAGATTTTTTTGTTTCCGTCCGATTACTGTGTTTGTCACTTTTGGAGTTCCATATAGCAGAACGTATTTCATTTTCATTTATAAAATCTTCCACATTTATATCATCCATTTTATAAACAATAAATTAGCCTCACGTCTAGTCACTGCACTACGAACGCACTGAACTGAACACGTGGGGCTTGCGACGTTGCCGTGCTGCTGTCGAGCGTTCGCGGTACGGACGCCGCGCTGTTGCCGCACCGTGCATTTTGTATGAAAACAAACGACCGGCCGTGCGCCGAACGACAAACGCACCGCTTCGGCACTGCAGCGGTCCGATACGAAACGCATAAATTGAAAGAGCCCTAAGACTTGAGCAACCAATCGAACTTTCTTTTTCTGTTTGCCATTCGGTTGCAAGTGTTGTTGTGTTAAGAGGGGCCTTTACGGTCGTACTATCTTCAACGCGAGCGTGCTTGAAAAGCTTGTTGTTTCATCCAACGCAATGTTAGAAAAAGAGGCAACGCGAAAAGAGTGAGAAAGCGCCTGAGCGATCGGTTGGCATTCCATTACTTTCGCTGCTCACTCGCGGGTGGTCGCCGTTCGGCCCTAGGATGACTATGAGCCATGTCATTCATGATAATAATAATAATATCGCGCGCGTGCCTATCTATTATCTCTGTCTACTATGGCCTCGCCCGTGCATAGCCGTAGTTTTATAAATTTCTCTGCATGCAGGTACATAAGTACCTACATTTAGTAAATGTTTTATTATACATATTACTTTTTTGTCTAATACGGACGTAGCGCTTGGCCTCGGAGATATGTATTGTATTTTTACCAATCTAGGTACCTACCTACCATACGTGCGCTAGTTTTAGAACATGGAAATTATTTATAACATACTTTCATTTCGTATTTTATGTACTGTATAATACCTCTTGGGCCAACAAAGAAAGTCAAGACAGATTCTCGCTACCAAAAAACTGTGCCTCAATTTCCAGTATAACTTGGCGTCGCTTATTATCAATTTCCCGTACAAAGAGAGATCTGCATAAACTGGTTTTGTAGATAATTTATTCTGCTTATAGAGTACCTTGCAGTACAAACAGAATAAATTCTTTATCTATCCTGTCTGTCTGTATTGAGGATGCTGAAATTAGGTAACTTACATAATTGTATACAATGTACGTTCCGTTTCAATGTCAACAAATGTATGTTTGTGTAGATATTTTTTACTCTAAAGAACTTTGTTACACTTTATAAACAATACATAAAACAAGCCGGCTGTCGAAATATCTTGATAGGTACTAAGGTCGAGATGATTACTGACAGAACCCCTTTATTTTATTTGTTTTATTTTGTTTTTTGGTATTTTTTGTTATTACCCAACTACTAAGGAAGGAGGGCTATGTTTTTCGAGTACATATATGTATGTATATATATTTCTTTGGCACGCTCTAGAGCCTAAACGGCTTGTCGTATTTGTGAATAGTGTCAATAGATTCGTCTTAGTCGTGAGAGTGACACTGAAATGAAAAAAAAAAACAATATCAAGTATTTTAAGCGCCAAAATGTTTTCTCAAAAAACTGTTTTCAAAATACATCTAGTGTGGTATCAAAATAAAGGATTTTATTACATCGAATTCTTGGATTTTATTTCTCAGAAATGAGATATTTTCCTACAGTATCGTATATACCGGATAACCAACTATCATCATAACAAATTTCATCAAAATCTGTCAAAAAATCTGTGGTTTTCTCGTGTTGCGGTCAGACAGACAGACAAAAATTCTATAAACTATAGATTCGGCCTCCGTATCGATATAATTCAAATTCAAAATATTTTATTCAGCATAAAATTATTACAATTTTTACTGAACGTTATGAGTCTACTACCAGTTCGGAAGGAAGAAACGACTGACCTGAGAAGAACTGGCAAAAGGAACTCAGCGGGACTAAAATATATTTTTTCTTGTTTTAGTGTTGACTATTTCAATTAGAATTTTCAAAAAATATTCAATGTACAGATTAGACTAAGTTAGAATTTTATTATAGATATAACTTATATGTTTTATTGGAGTTTGGAATAGGAAAAGCTAATAATAGTGAATTATACCTAAAGTGAACAAAATTTTCTACATTCATCGAGTATGATATAAAACAATTTATATTTAGCATTTTTAGTTTTTTTACTTTTTATTTTTTACGATTTAAATTTAAACAATGTGTTATATTTATTTTGTCTATACATGCATACATGTATAGCGTGTGTGTGTGTGTATATATATATATATATATATATATATATACATGTATATAGACAAAAAAATATAACACATTGTTTGGAAAAATAAAAAGTTAAAAAGATAAAAATGCTGAAATATAAATATTATTTTAAAAAAACCAACTGCGTCAATATCGCCCATCTTTATTAAATTAATTCAAGAACTGAAAAGATAGAAACAAGATTTTAATTTGAATATTTTATTTTGTTTTACATTGGACCGGAAGATTTTGAACTTTATTTTTCGTGTCACTTTCCGTGATTGCCAGTTGTGCGAAGGTTGCTTGTGCTTTGACGATTTTCGAAGTGATGTCCTCTTCGGTTCCTTATGTTTCTGACACGCAGCTACCGAGGTGAGTGAAGTGAATCTGTGAAGGAACATGTCTTACGCTTTTTTTTTTTGTTTTTTTACATCGGGAAATGCATTTGTCGCACCACCACCTGAACCCCCAGGTGGGTGTGTGGGACTCACAAGCCATGCGGCGAGTACTACCCATTAAAACCCGATAACCCAACCCCATTCCGCCATAGTGGGACGCCACGGGATCGCTTGCGCATTCGACCGCGCCGCCCCGGCGGCAGGCCAAAGGCCCCTACCTGTAGGGCTGCTCACAAGTCCACTCTGGTAACAGCAGTCTCCTGCCCCATCACCTCAACTGCCATCTCCCTCTATACTTTCACGTCTTCCTCCAACCCGAGTGTCAACATCACCGCTCGCCTCTGTGACCACGCCGATGCCGTCAGCGACGTCTCGTAATACAACTATACGAGGCGAACCACAACGACGAAGGCGTCCGGTGACCCCTTCGCCCGTGGCGTCACCTGCCACGTCTACGCCGCGGCGGCATAGGCTGCTTCGAGCACGCACAAGGCGAGTACAGACACCATTCGAACGAGTCACGAGCGAGTTCGTAACCGTCGAGAATCGCCGGCTGCAATTGGAGGAAGACCGCGAAAAAAATAACCATCAGAGGGAGATGGAACGCCTTCGATTGGAATCGCGAAGGATTGAAATGGAAGAAAACCAAAATCAAATGTTTAACCGTTTAACTGGGATTCTAGATAGTTTGACAGAAATTTTAACTCAGTTGAGACCATCATCACTAGCTTCACTTGATGTGTCCAGTAATGGTAGCCTCACTTGTGAATGTGTCAAATTGTCTGATTTTTCAGCATCTTTTATTTCAATCCTTTGCAATTCTTTTTAAAAAGGAAATAGGTATTTTTTTTAAATACAGATTTTTATTAATGTTTTTAAATTTATTTTATTTTTGTTAATACATTTTTAGTACATTTTTATGCTAAAAACCTCGTCTTCCTTACAATAAGAGTTTACATAATAATAAAGGCATTTAGTATAATGAAGACATTTGTTTCATTTTTACAATTACTTATTAAATATTATATTCATACATTTTATAATATACATATACCTAGTAAAAAAAGAAAAATGCAAATATTCACATTAATATTAGTGATGTAGATAACGAATATTCGAATATTTTTTGACAAGTATTTGCATGAAACGAAATAATTTCCCATTTGTTCTAGTTAGTCTAATTGAAATATTAAAAATATCACATCTAAATAAAAAAAGAATATCCAGCCTTATATTTAAAAAAAGATTCTAAATTATCTCTTTTGTGAAGATCGAACTGAATTGACGACACGTTTGGCTCAGTGTGTAGTGACCCTACTTGTTGTGCCAGCGGTCGCGGGTTCGAGGTCCGCTGGGGGCATTCATTGTGTGATGAGCATGCATGTTTGTACTCCAGTCATGGGTGTTTATATTTAAAATATGTATGTTTTTAAAGTTTATATATGTGTAGTGTATCAACTATCTGGTATACATAACACAAGCCTCGTAGCTTACGATGGAACCAGATGGTGCTGTGTGTTAATGTCCCAACATGTTAAAAAAAAACTTGAGAAGACTAATCAAATTAATAAGAATATCTAGGACTTATAACTCTTGTTACAATTATAGAAGGTTTGTACTTATTTAGCAGATTGTAAACTTTTCATTTACAGAAAACAAAAATATATTTGAACCAAACTTAAACTTATAATCTCCAATATGTTAATCGTATCCAATACTTTCTTCCCTTCAAAACCAAAATTATGCTTGCCCAGTCTCTTCTACTACCCATACTTGACTACGCCGATGTATGCTATTTGGATGTGACGGAGGAGCTACTGAATAAACTAGAGCGTCTTCAAAATCTCGCCATACGCTTTATCTATGGTCTACGCAAGTATGATCATGTTTCCGACTTTCGAGCTCGTCTTAAATGGCTCCCTATCCGCCTTCGCCGTGATATGCACCTCCTTTCGTTTCTGTTCAACATCCTTCATAACCTCAATTTTCCCTCTTACCTTCGTCCCCGGTTTAACTTTCTTCATGCATCACATCGATGCTTGACATACCAAGAAGCAACACCAAGTTTTTCCAAAACTCATTCTCGGTACACGCTGCAGTGCTATGGAACAGACTTCCCAAAGTCCTACAAGAGAGCCCTTCTAATGATGCGTTTAAAATCAATGTGAAAAATTATTTTCTAACTCATAATTGAAAAATGTGTACATTTCTGTTTTGTAATAATATAAGTATGTTCATGTATATATGTATGCTTATGTATATATTGTATTTATTTTGTTTTACTTATGATTATTCTTATATATGTATTTTCTTATCGTTTCTCTGCACTTTCTCTTTCTGTCCCGCTACTTGACACTATTTCCCACATGCATGGGTTGACTGGAAGAGATCTCTTATAGAGATAAGTCCACCTTTGTCCACGTCATTTTCTATGTATTTTTTTTATTACTTGTTTAGTGCAATAAAGAATATATATATGTTATATAACCTTTGGCTTTTATGTATATTTTTCCATTCCAATTTTTCTAAGAATTAAGACTAATGAATTATAAACTAAAAAAAAAAATAGTGAATACTTAACTAAACCGTTTGTAATTAAAGTTAAAAAAATTTTTAACAGAAAACAAAACAATATTTTAACGGTTATATAAACACAAGTAAAGTTCTAATATCCATAATTTTTATTTAACCATCGGTTCCAACGATATATTTTTTCACTATATATTTTCTTCTATATATTTAATCTATACTAATATTATAAAGAGGTAAAGTTTGTGATCTTGTGAGTTTGTGGGTTTATGAGTTTGTGAGTTTGTGACGTTGTAGGGGTAATCTCTGGATCTACTGAACCGATTTTCAAAATTCTTTTACCAATAGAAAGCCACATTCTTTCTGAGTCTCATAGGCTATATATTAACCCGAAGAATGAAAAGGCTTTTTCGTGGAAGTCGGATTTGCAAAGTAAGTCGGAGAAAAAACGGTCGAACCAAAACGTTTCTTACGAACGCTTTTTTTTTTTTTTTAATGTTGGGAAATGCATTTACGCACGACGTGTGGGACTCACCGGCGTAATACAGCCAGTACTACCCACTAAAACCCAACAAAACCTTCCCCCGTCTTAATGGGGCGTCGCAGGATCGCTTACGCATTCAACTACGACGCCCCGACGGCAGGTCTGCCGAAGCAGACCACAACAACCACGGGGTTGCTCCACAGTCCACTCTGCTATCAGAGAAGTACCAGGAGCAACCCGCATGGTACACTGCCCTCCGAAGAGGGCCACCTCCCACCGCCCACCGAAGTGGGCCACCTCCCTGTGCGTTTCTTGGCTTCGCGCCCGGTTGGGTTGCCGGGCACTACTGAGCCCCCCCCACCACGACAAGGTGAACGCACGTTGGGGGGGTTACGAACGCTGCCTTAACGATGAGAGATATATGATTATCTTCTAGTGAAAAGTTGTAGAGCTTAATAATGCCTACAAGAAAGTCAGCGACAGCATATATCTAACTTTTATATTTAAGTCACAAAAAGTAGTTTTTTATATTAAAAAATAATTTAACTCTGTAGGTCATGTTTATTGGTCCTATTATCAACAATTATGAATTCTTATCAAAATAAGTAAATTTATTGTCTAAAATGTTTAAAACAAAAGACTTTTCCCTTTTACTGCATATAATTTGGACAAATGGTTAAAGAGATAATACAACATATTCGTAGGTATGGACGAACCCGAGCGAGCTGTTTGTCTGTTTTTCTGTTTGTACGGGCTAATCTCCGAAAATATTGAACCAATTTAAATGAAATTTTGCATGGTAGTACCTTATATCCCCGGTCAACATCTAAGATACTTTTCATTCCAGAAAATAAAAGAAGAAAAATAGTAACTTATACAGCTTAGTACACAACAACTTACGCACCTAATTTAGTAAAACATTGGCATTCTGATACCTTATATTGCCGGTCAAACAACAGGTTACTTTTCATCCCGGAAATATGAACGGTTCCCGTGGTATAGATCTGTTTGTGCTTTTCTAGAGGTGAACCCGAGCGAAGCGAGGGTGAGCCGCTAGTAAATAATATGTTATTACCGACACAGAGGCGGATTTTGTAGTTTTTAGAATTTTTGTCTGTCTGTTTGAGAATGCATCACGAGAAAACCTCTGGACAGATTTTGATGAAATTTTGCATGATAGTAGCTGCGTCAACATAAAGGATACTTTTTACTGCGGGAAAATATCTCATTTTTGAGAAATCTGTACTAAACGTTAAAACGTATTATATAATAACTATAAATTAATGATAATAAAATATAAACTACACAATTATACGTTAATAACAATGTTGACCAATAGAATAATAATTAATATTAATTATAAATAAACTTGCTGTAACTTTAAATTCTTAGTAATTAAATTGATGTAAAGGAATCTAAAGTTTAAAAATAAAAGATTTCAAGGTCTTTCTCCATGCAGCCTATTTTCATTTAATTTCAACAACATTCGCATTCGTGAATATTGAAGATAAAAATTCGCATTCGCGAATGTAAAAAATCGAATATTTCTTACCATTACTAATTAATATGTACAACTAGCCTAAAACCTATCAAATCAAATCATTTTTGTTATCACAGGTGCACAAAATAACATAGAAATGTCTTAATTCTAGATTCAGATCTTTGTGATATACAATGAGTTCCTTAACTAGTTAAAACTGTATAATACTCCTAATGTAACCTATTTAATAAGCAATTCAACATGGCTCTGCCTTGGATTAGCTCATTTTGGCTATCTATAGTGGTAGAGATGGAAGCTCGCTTGGGTATATCACTTTCATCCTCATGTGCAACTAGAAGTGGTTGTGGTAATGGTAAACGGGCTTTCAATGCAATGTTGTGCAAGACACAATATGCCGCTATTATTTTGCTAGCTACATAAGGATGATAGTGAAGTGTCCTATCTCGAAGCAAATATCTCCACCGTGCTTTGAGTAATCCAAAACAGCGTTCAATGCAATCTGGAACTGCATTGAGGATGGGAGTCATAAGCCAAGGGCGTTGTGGATATCCAGAATCACTTGAAACTACTACTACTACTACTACTAACATATCAATTACATCTTTCATGTTATTTTTGTAAACAGTTACCTAATAACCATACTTGTTCATTATTTTGATGAAGTTCACGCATGTATGATTCAGCTTTACTAGATGACCATATATGTGAATCGTGTGTAGCTCCACCAAACTTTGCATTCACATTAGTGATACGAAGATGACTGTCACAAATCTGTAAAGTGAAACTAATTCAGAAATGTTTTTATATTATTTTACCTGAAACAAGTCATAAATAAATACAATTACCATTTGAACATTTAATGAATGATACCCTTTTCTGTTATAAAAAAGATGTTCTTCATCATTGGGCTTAACTAAAGCCACATGGGTGCAATCTATGCACCCGATTACACCAGGCAGACCAAATCTACTCTGAAACCTAAAACAATAAGTTATATTATTAAATGCATTACATGTACCTATAGTTTGTCCATTTTATAAATGGTTTTTTGACAGCTTACGCCCATGAAGTTTCGTATTTAATGGTTAACCGGTAAGTTAAAATGTCATACAAATAATATTGTACTTCATGGACGGGTACCGCCCCCTTATTGATGTGCCACACATAACGATTACTACGATTGTGCCACAGATTACAAATAATTGATAGAAATAAATGCTAATATGTAAATAAGGTGTAATATGTTATTTAATCAGGAAGACAGCAAAATTTTAATGTTGAAACCAATAAATTAAAATATTAACATTATGTAAAGTTTTACTTTCTTCTTAGCATAAGGCATACAAATAAAACAACTAAAATAGTTTAATTCCTTTTATTAACATGTTTCGTCAGAATCATCATTTATATTAGATTCGTCCGATGAGGAGTTTTCAGTTATATTAATTATTAGCTCTTGTGTGCATAAATTATCAAATGCTATGTCACGGTCCCAATCAGACATTATGACTCTTTTAGTTCTCTCCACCACACTTGCCCAGTTCTCGGTCGTCACGTGGGTGCAAGCGTTTTTGAGTAATTGTAACATTTTATTCGCTTTGAATGGGGGCCTTGTATTGTTTCTTGCAGCATGCCCTTTTACTTCTGCCCATATAAGTTCTATGGCATTGTATTGGCAGTGATATGGAGGAATCCTAAGGACGTTATGACCATATTCTGCTGCCATTTCATCGATCACATACCGTTTTGGTTTTTTTGGTTTTTAATATTTTTACCAATTCTATTTTTAACATAAAATCATCCACATTTTCTCCATTTTCGCGTAGCCAATTAATAATTTCATGTTTTTATTGGCTTGCGTTGGCATTTTATCAATTTGGCGAGAGTGGTAGAGCGCGTTATCAATAAAAATTATTGATGGTTCTTCCAATGATAAAAGCATATTCTTGAACCACTCTTCATACACCTCCGCATTCATTTCTGCGTGGTAATCGCCAGATCCCTTTGATTTAAATGCCAGCAGTGCGTCTTGTACAAAACCTTTTGCTGTACCTGCGTGGCAAATGATGAGGCGTTCGCCTTTTCCAATTGGTACTGCGGAGGTGGAAGCAGCAGTGTCGTCAGTCCAGGATCGGGATACGGTGTGGTTAGCGTTGAGCCATGTTTCATCCGCAAATACAATATTTGGCCAATCTTGAATTTTTTTGCCTCTCTTAAAAAGTCACATCGTGCCAAAGCAATATCAGTGCGTTCCGTTAATATTTTTCTTTTATCTGATTTTTTATACGAAAAGACGACGAATGGCGTCAGCGTCAAAATCGTCAACTGCTGTCACATCACGAGGCCGGCGTTTTCTTTTTGGTGTAACAGGCTTGTTTTGTTCTAAGCCGCTCCTGCCGTAGGCTTCGTCAGTGATTTTAGTCACAGTTGTAAGACTGATACCCAATGCGGCCGCAACACGGTTTCGCACTTGCGAGATAGGTATAAGCGGACCGCCATTTTGATTTTCTTGTTCAAAGTAACCATGAAGTTGTAGCACTAATTGTCTCGATTGTCCTTTCAACACACTTCCTTTCGGCATTTTCACGATTAATGTACTCTGCTAACTGCTTAATCTAAGCACTCCCAAAAGCTGCACCGAGGAATAAAACTACTCAACTCGAGGTCTAACAAATGCGAGAGAACACTCAGCGAACGTAAATGCGTGTGACTAGCACGGGCGTTTGTTGCGAGCGACAGACTACGTCAAAATGGCGGCCGGACGGACGGTCCGTATATATAGTTTTACGATTATAATATTTATTTTCAAATTAATAAATATAAAAATAAATATTATTTTATATTTAAAAAATAAGGGATATCGATTATTACGTCCTTTAGGACGGAAAAACCATTAATAAAATGGACAAACTATAAGAGTAAAATTGTAAATATATAATATGATACACACTCTTGTTTTACATGTCCTCTGTCTTGCGTTGTTTTCGGAAACACAATCCATTTTGTCATAATAGCGGGGTGGTTCAAAGCATCATCTACTTATCAGATGCAGCGACTAGTTGTTGATTTTTAAATGAGTCATAAGTGTTTTTGAAAAAGGAATTAAATTTCTAACTCGTGTAACACATAATTTAAAATTACCTTGGTCACTGTTGGGCTCTGAGTATTACATTCAGCTGAGAGTTCTGCAGATATTGAGTAACATTGTGATGTGCTGGCTTGAACTTCCAGACGCATCTGAAATCATTACATTTTTGGAATGTCAAAGTGAGTTGTGAGTTTGGCATTAGTGTTAGTCTTAATGTACTGTGTAGGCTATGTTACCATCACTGTGACTGTCTTTTCTAATAGTGATAAAATAGGCCATAATTTATCTAGAAACTAATTTTAGCTCTTGGAGATGGTTAATGTGCAATAATACAGTTCAATTCCATTCTCTTGTTTAATGGCTTCAAAGCATGCCAGATAATATAGTTGTTACTAGAATGAGAATAAAATAAATGTAGATGTCATGATTGTCTAGAGTCAAATGAAATACTTATTTGCTAGGAAGCTTGTAGTGATGGCAGCACCAAAAACTGTATTTTGTTGGAGTTATGATTTTTAAAATAAAGTCAAAACATACAACCTTTTAAATTAAAATATGTGGAAGTGGAAAAATTGTCAGGTAAAAAACAGAAGTATTTTGTGGAGTTAGTTGATGGAATGCTGAAAGTTAAAAGTGTAGATTCTTATAATATAAAATGCGAATGTGTTAAATAAGTGACAAATGATGTAAAGTGAAATAAATATGGTAAAGTATGAACCTGGGCCAAAATATCTTGTGCATCAGTTGGAATGGCAAACTTGTGCAATCTAATTCTTTCACTGCTAGTAAATGAGGAATCATTAAAATGCTTTCCACATAAGAACTTATTTTGATTGTATAACTTATACAATGACTGGTCAGATGTCCAATCTTCATTGGGAAAGCAATACTTTGCCCAAACTTTTGCCCTGAAAACAATATTTCTTTATGATAATTATCAAGTAACAAGTAAAATAGGTCTTACTCGTGTATATGCGCAAAATCTACTTACTTTAAAGATCTATGTATGGAAGGAAGAGGAAATCTATGAAACCCGCACCCGGAATCCGCACTTAGCGCACGTTAAACTTCTTTTGCCAACCATGTTGACTGCTATTTTTCTAGAAAACGGAATGCGCGTCCCGTATCGCTTTGGAGCTTCCCAAACTCACAAAAATGTCGCGGTACAGTGCTAGACTCGTTCGATTACAGTATGATATCAAATACACAAAAGCGTCTTTATCGCAGTGGAGTCTATTTCTCACAAAATATCAAAAACAACAACAAAATAAAAAAAACAAAAACAAACGAAAGCGTCTTTTACGCAGGAGTCCCTTTCTCAATATTACAATTATTCACAACACTAAAGCGTCTATTATCGCACTATATAATGTAGCTCACACGATACACGAAATCGAATAAGCTATATTATAATGTCGCAGTTTCAGATATGTTCACAATACTTCAGAAGTAGTAAACAAACCAGTAATCACAAACAACGACAAAATGCGCAAAAAAATTGGCCATATTTGATTTTTTAGTATTGCTACCTCAAAAAAACACCTTTCAATATGTAGTAGAATACTCAATTTAATTCTATATTGATTTGAGAAACAAAAATAGGATTTTTAACTTTATAAAGTACTGTATTGTTCCTTTAATCACCAATTACAAGTATATTATCATTTAGTTAAATGTTTTTTTCGGTATCAACCAACATAATTTGTAAAATCTATCATAATAGTACATTTTTAGTAATTGGTCACACTCGTTAGGTCAATATCTATTTCTCACTTTTTGTAGAGCTCCATCTCTTTCTTACAAATCCTTATGCATGTAGGCATTGGTCGACTCTAAAGCTGTTGGCCCCTGTATAATATATAGTTCCATTTTATCTGACTGCCTTTACTTCTAAATATTTTCGTCGCCATTAAACTATATCCGGTCTTTCTACTAAAATACTCTTTCTACCTCTTTTATATTATAGGAAAAACCCAATTTTTATAGTGCTTTGTACAATGTCGACCTTGGCATAGACGGGAAATCAGATTCTTCCTTCTACTTTCATTTTGAAAATAAAATTTGTGCTCCACATTTCGAAGAACGCTTTTCGTAAAATCATCATATTTGTTAATAACACTCGAGCGATTTCTTTTCTTTTTCGGTGATTTTGGTGGTCCACCTGATTTCATGTCTTCAATAACCTTAAAAAAATGTAATATATAATTTAGTTTGACGTAATCATTAATGTGTAATTTACTGATGTGTATTTAATTAATTTATCTATTTATAATAAATAATGTATAATATAATATTATTTTCAGTTAAGTAAAGATGTTTACCTTGTACACCGTAGAGACATAAATTCCTATGGAAGTTGATATTGTATGAGCAATTTCATTATGTGATCAATTACAATTAGAATCTTTAAACAGTTTAAACAAATTGTATATGACTTGTTATTCTGTAGATAGCAATGGGCGCTTAGCACACTTAAATACAGGAAACATGTCCGCCACGACTCACACACAAACAATATCGTCTGGTTCACTCAATACGTGCAATGAGCAGGTAATCGCTGAGAAACCGACTGTATGTTAATTACATGGACTAATAACGACGCAGTCAATATTTTCGGTACTCGTTTGTTAAAAAAACAGACTATAGTTAATGCACCATAAAACTAAATCACATGTATTTCTCATGCATGAATCAACAAAATCTACATAAAAATTTTCTTCTGAACATAACTAATTGCTAAATGAGTATTCTTGCCTTACAAAAATAATAGTCAGAAAAGATGAAACAACAACAGATAAAGTTTAGTAATAAAATTAAACACCAAAAAAAAACGACGTCACGTTCCGTTCAGTTTGTAGTGACTTGCTGCGCCAGCGGTCGCGGGTTCGAGTCCTGCTGGGGATATTCATTTGTGTGATAAGCACGAATGTTTGTACTCCAGTCATGGGTGTTTATATTTATAATATGTATTTAAAGTTATATATGTATAATGTATCAACTATCTGGTATCCATAACACAAGCCTCGTAGCTTACCATGGAACTAGATGATGTTGTGTGTTAATGTCCTGACATATTTATTATTATTATTAAAACAAACTAATTAATGTCACTAACAGTAATTTAATAAAATAAAAATAAAAAAATAATCAGTCTCCATTGTTTGTAATAAGAATACTCTCTGATTATAAAAGTTTTATAATCAGAGGAAGTACTATAATAAATTTACTCGTCTACATCAAATTCAAGTATTTCGTTTGTATTGTTTTTGGAAATAAGGAGATTTTTCTAAAACAACAACCTATTTTCAGGCATTAAGTAACCTAATTGTTTTATTATATTTTGAATCCTTTCTAAATCGATACCTTTACAGCCCGTTTTTTGAGTAAAGATTGGCAAGGTTTTTGATTCTAAGTAAAACATCTGCCTATTCTTAGTTTCAATTAAAATCTTTTTTGTAGGAAAGGCAGTGCTTTCCTCTTTGAAACAAAACATCAGCTGTCTCTTAAGTAAACACTGTTCCCCTCGTTATCCTTCATTTTGAGTGATATCTACCGTGTCCCACGGGAGTCAGTCTGTTTCTTAATAAACGTTTACATTTAATAAGTAAGCTTACATGTGCTAAAACGTGGTTAAAATATATAAAAATCAAATTAATGACATTAACTTAACTGTATTTTAAAAAACATTATCTGTCTAGAAAGAAATTGATAGACCCTCACCTTATATGAAATGGAATAAAAGAGTTATACAATTTATACAAATTAACCATTAATTTAAATAAAAAATAAAATACAATACAAATTAAATTACAGAACAGCACACAATAGCTTTGACATTACTGTTACTGTCGGCGACGGAAAACTTATCTTCGAGTAACGTGTGTATTAATATAGGGACAATGTCATTTTAGCGTATTATGAATAATTGTTGTAAATATGAAATCTCATTCTTATTAGATTTATTATGTTAAAATAAGTTCTAATTAGTGTAATAAGGTTAGTTTAGAGTATTTTTTGCTTATTTGAATCATATAAGACTATTTAACATTAATTTGAAAGGAATAGGTACGTAAGTAAAATGTTAGCATATAATTACGTAACTTGAAAATGAGATTTTTTGTTTCTTGCAATAGCATAATAGATTTTAAATTTAAATTTTATATTTTAAATTTTAGATTTGAATTTTAAATAATAGATTTTATTATAAAACTTATAATAAAACAAGAATTAGGTCGATAGGACTATCCGTTCAAAAGTTATAAGGGAAAATGTATAGTAAAAATGTAGCAACCTAGAAATTTAGATATTTTTGTTTTAAGACTTTTTTAATTAATTATTATATATTGAATATTATGTTTTAATATTGTATAATAGTATGTAAGGCATGTAAATAAATAAATATGTGTAAGGTGTTTTACTGAAAACATAAAATAAAAGGACTCTCAAGGTTTCGGTTTAGGGAAATTTTATTCGAAAAACGAGCTCAAAGTACGCGGCTCTCTGTAAGGTATTAACGGGCCAAATAAAAGGCGAGCCATTTCTCGATTCGAGTCAGTCGCAAGACAGCCACCGAAGAGGCAACAACTAAAAGGAAAAGGAAGAACCGAAACCAAGAGAGAAAAAAGGAAAAATTGTGTTTTATTTCATCGCCTCTAAGTATAGTCTCCTGTCAACGAAGAAACCCTAGTGGATCGGGACCCAAGCTACGCATTCAGGGGTGCGTGGTGGCGTACATTACCAGCGAACGGACATACTGCCGTGTACGCCAAGAACGTCTGGGAGATTGTCCCAGGTCGACCTCCGGGTACTAGACATACCCTGGTTCTGGTCGTCCGAAACAGTTGGTCCTTCGAGCCGGATCCCTGCTAGAAGAAGTTCAGAAGAAACAGAAGATTGCGTTCAAGATGCCGGTAACCAGGTCGCAGGCCCCCTCACGTCCCGGGTCCCGTCCTTCAGATAGGGACGCGACAGATGGAACGTCGGGATCAGAAGGGGTCACGTCAGCGTCGGCGTCATCGGGAACTGCAACTACATCGAACACTTCTTCGGGTACCACGACCACGGAGGGCACCACAGTGACGGAGACTACGGTTACGACTGCAACTACGGCGGCGTCTATGGAAGGCAACAAAGAAGATGCTGCACAGAGGATGACCAGGAAGAGCCAAGAAGATGTACCTGGAAAGGATGTTCAAGGCTCCTCCAAGACCCTGAAACCGATGGGGGTCAGTCGTCGCGCCAGGTCCACGAAGACCACGAGTTCCTCGGCCAGAAGACGCGAGCTAGAAGCAAAGGAAGAGTTGGCACGCCTGGAGTTGAAGCAAGCACAGGCTGAAACTAAGCTAGCCCGTGTCAGATTGGAGATGGCACAGTGTGAAGAAGAGGACTCCGTGGATGAAGACCTGGAAGACAGAACAGCACAGGTGCAGAACTGGATCGAGACGTCTGTGCTGGAGGATGGCAACAAAGTTCAACCAGAGATGCGAGGTCCACACCCCTTGGAAGAGCCACAGAAGATGAAGCCTGAAGAGAACTCCTCAACGAGAGGAGCTACGATTGAAATTCAAGCACTGACGGCAGCATTGAAGGAAGCTCTTACCACGCGAGGACCAGCAGGACAGCCAACCTACATTCACGAGTTACCCTACTTCGACGGCAACAGCAGCGAGTGGATGGCCTTCAAGGTTGTCTATGAAGATACAGCACCGATGTTCAACAACGTCCAGAATATGGCTCGGCTAAGAAGAGCACTGAAGGGCAACGCAAGAGAAGCTATCAAGAGTCTGCTGTACTCCGAAGCCTCTCCGATGGAAGTGATTCAAGCCCTCAGAAGAAGATATGGAAGACCAGATGCACTGGTGCTGGCAGAGTTGGACAAGGTCAAAACGTTGCCGAAGATTTCTGAAAACCCAAGGGACATATGCCTCTTCGCGAGCCAGATCAGCAACAGCGTAGCGGCAATAAAAGGATTGAAGAAACCACAGTACCTGCATTCACCTGAGATGGTGAAACAAATTATTGAGAAGATGCCTACGATCCTCAAGTTCCGATGGTACGACTTCATTGAAACAACAGAAGAAGGCGAGTTCTCCGACCTAACACTGGTGTCCAAGTTCCTGAACAGAGAAGCAGACAAGTGTGGAGCCTATGCATCAACAGAAGAGAAGAGCGGGTTCAGACGGACTCATCGACAAGCAACGCATTCAACTAAGGAAAAGGACTTCAAAGAAAAGGTTTCAAGATCAGAGAAGACTTGCCCCATGTGTGAGGGTGAACACTTCCTCGTCGGGTGTCAGAAGTTCCTGAAGGCGTCTGTGCAAGATCGATGGGCAATAGTGAAGAAAAGCCGCGTTTGCTTCAAGTGTTTACAAGGGACACATCGGAAGGAGAGCTGCAAGAAGCCGTCGTGCAAGGAATGCAAGAGGTGGCATCATCATCTGCTGCACGTCGAGACAGAGAAAAGTTCCTCGGAAGAACAGAAGAACAAACCACAAGAAGTGGCGAGCATCATGGCATCTGTGAATGCGATCAACAACGCAAGGGCATACCTGAAGATAATTCCGATAGAAATATTCGGGTCAAAAGGATCAAAGAAGATATTGGCCCTCATGGATGAAGGGTCAACAGTGTCGCTGCTAGACCAGAAGGTAGCAGAAGAAATCGGCGCTCAAGGAAGAAAGGAGGAACTGGTCATCGAGACTGTTGGAGGCAGGCTGATAAGGAAGGAAGACTCTCAGATGCTGGACCTTACGGTGAAGGGGATTCATCAGAAGACCAAGAAGACCTTGAGAAGAGTCCGGACCATCGACGAGTTAAAGCTTGCACCGCAGTTCCTAGAAAAGAAAAGGATAGAAGAGTGTCAACACTTG